CGGACAAACGCCCGAGATCCCCAGACCCGGAACGCCGACGCATCGCCAACCTTCCCCGTCTACAGCAGCGCTGGGGAGGTCTCCGGCCTGGAGACCCTGGGGTGGAGGTTGATCTGATGCGCTGCGTACCTGACCGCAAACGGCCACAGAAAATGGGGGGCAGCCGCATGCATCATGGACGTACGAGCGACGTCCATGACCATGCCAATGCGGCGCTCTGCAATCCCATTTTGCTGCGGGGAGTCCGGAAGCGTGAAGGTCTGGCGGATGCCTCGCGCACGACAGTAGGCACGCAGAAGGCCAGAGGAGAACTCTCCGCCTCTGTCCGGGTGCAGACGCAACACAGGAAAGTCCGAGCCAAAGCTCTGCCTGAGCTGGAGAGGAGCTGCGCGGATCCAGTCGATCAGCACCTCAGTGACATCACCCTTGCTGCGCAAGGGGAAGACTGTGGTGTAACGCGAGTAGTCGTCAACCACCAGCAGGAAGTAGCGCTCGTGACCGAGTCCACGGACGCGGGCAGGGCCCCACACGTCCATGTGAAGCGTCTGCAACGGAGCCTCTGTCGGAGGAAACTGGGAGGAGTGAGGGGCAGCACGCTGGCGCCCCTCGACACAGGGGACACAGGCAGGGCCAGGGCCCTGAGGAAGGGGAGGTAGAGACCGGGGGAGACCAGACACAAGAAGACGGGAGGCCATGCCTCTGAGCCGAAGCAGAGAGGGGTGGCCAAGGCGGTGGTGCCAGAGGAGGGTCTCGTGAGACAGACGGCGACACGAACAGGGGGCAGACTCAAGACCAGACCTGGACGCTGCAGCAAACACCTGACCAGACGAAGGGACTCTACCAGACTCAGCACCTGGAGGAGAAGCAGTGGTCAGTGTGTACAGGCTCGACCCTGGCTGACGTGTAAACGTAGCCAGGTGACGACCCGTGCTAGCCTCTGTGCAGTGCGTCACTCGCTGACGAGCAGGGGTGAACTGGTGGACTCCCGCATCCTGTAGGTCAGCACCACTCACCAAGTTCGTAGAGAACGAGGGGAGGTAGAGACCAGACAGGGTGCCAGAGGGAGCCGCCGGACACGGGAGGACTGTGGAGAAGCGAGACAGGACAGGACCCCCAGAGGGGTCAGCAAGGGAAACCGCAACCGGCCGACTAAGCGGCGTAAGTGTGGTGCGGTCCCGAAAGAAAGAGCGAGACGCTCCAGAGTCAAGAGTGAAGGTGTGGGAGGCCGAAGCCGACGCAGTACCTGAGAGCGCAGACGCACTAGTACCTGAGAGAGCAGTCTCACGAGCACCTGAGAGCAAAGACGCACTGGCACCTAGAGCAGAAGCCTCACCGGCACCTGGAGCAGCAGTACCAATGCCCGGGTCGGGCGGGAAACACCGGTAACAGTCACCCTCATCACTAATGGTCACAGCATACATGGCAGCAAGGATAGCATCAAAATCAAGATCAAAGATAGCTACACCAGCCCTAGACAGCTCTCCCCAGCGGGGGATCTCCGCGGCCGAGGAAACTCTGCAGCTCAGTGATGTTCGTGGGCGGCTTCCACTCCGAAATCGCCTTTACTTTACGGGGGTCAATTTTAATGCCTTCCCCAGAGACAACGTGCCCCAGAAACTCCAGCTCCGACCGTAAGAACTCGCACTTAGAGCCCTTCGTAATCAGCCGGTTCTGCTGCAAGCGTCGGAACACTTCGTCTAAGTCCTGTAAATGCTGCTCCCGAGTCTTGCTGTACACCAGGATATCGTCCAGGTAAACAATGACCTTCTTGTCCAACATGTCCCGGAACACCCCATTCATGGTGAGCTGGAAAGTCGAGGGTGCGTTCGTCAACCCGAACGGCATCACTGTGTACTCATAACTGCCGTAGCGGGTGCGGAACGCAGTCTTCGGGCAGTCGTCGGCGAACACACGGATTTGGTGGTAGCCACCTCGCAAATCGATTTTCGAGAAGAAACGAGCCCCGCGAAGCTGGTCCAGCAGGTCATCTGTTCGTGGGATCGGGTAACGCGACTTGATTGTGACCCGATTCAACGCCCAGTAGTCGATGCACATGCGCAGGCCTCCATCCTTCTTTGGTGTGAATAGTATCGGGGCGGCGTACGGCGACGTGCTCGGCTGGATAAAACCCTTAGAAAGCAGATAATCCAACTGTTTATGCAATTCGTCGAGCTCCGGTTGGCTGAGCCGCCATTGGGACCGAACAGTTGGTTTTGCACCTGGCTCCAGCTCAATCCTGTGGTCTTCCGGACGCTGAGGTGGCAACCGGTCAGGTAGGTCATCCGCGAAGATTTCGGGGTACCTCTGAATTATGCTCGCCACGTCGTCGGGTACAGCAGCGCAGAGCGTGTCGATGTCGGCGATTTTTTCGGAAGCCACCACCTCGTACAGCTGTACGGCGTAGCCTTGCGCTCCCCGTTTGATCGCCCTTTTCAGTGTTATTGCATTGACACGTGTTGTCATCGGCTCCGGCTCCGCCCATTTCGGAAGTGTCACGCGCCCCTTGTTGCATGGCACCGTGATCGCCCCCGTCGTCCAGTCGATGATCGGATTGAATCGCTGCAGCCAATCCCTTCCCAGCAGCACATCGCAACCGTCCAGTGTTGTCGCCAGCATCCGCATGGAGAACCCGAAATCGTCGCCACACTTCATCCGAATTTGTCGGACCTCGTCTTTTATCGCCAGCGGTGTTCCGTCTACCAGTCGCGCGTCAATCTCGGGTAGACACCTGTCCAGTTTGACCCCAATTGTTTTGGCCGTTTCCAGGTTGACGAGACTGTGGCTCGCCCCACCGTCAACGAATAATTTTATGTTATGCCCGTTAACCCTCCCCACGACCAGCACAGGGTGATCCACATGGTCATCCACCTTATTCGTCCGGTTGTGGTCGATAGCCCGTATCGGTACCACTACTCGGTGTGGATGTTGATTGCCGGGCGACGGGGTCGCGTCAGTAGGTGGCCCGACTGCTACTGACTCGTCTCTTTTCCCGACCCCTCTCCGTCGTTCCTGTTTCCCTGTTTCAGCTTCGGGCAGTCCTTCCTCCAGTGGCCCGGTTGGTTGCAGTTGAAGCACGTGTTGGGTCCACGCCTCGGTGCATCCACCCCGTTGATTGTGGGCTGGCGCGGCGGTCCACGAAATTGAGTGCCCTCCCGGGAACTCATTCTCGCCCATTGCATCAGCGCATCCGTCGATTCAGCCACCTGGACGGCTTCGAGAAAAACACGTGGCCTCGCCCGTCGCACCTCGTACTGTACTTCGTACTTGAGGCCTGCGACATATCGGTCGAGTCGCTCCGCGTCACTCATATCGTCCACTTGGTCAGCCAAATTGCAGAATGTTGCCGTGTAATCTTGGACCGACGCCACCTGCTTCCAGGTACGCAGCTTCATGCGAGCAGAATCCGAGGCGGATACATGCTCGAATCTGTTTCGCAGCGCGGCGCCCCACTCCATCCATGTGCGTATCGTGGCCACTCCGAAGATTGAAGTTGCCTGTTGCGTGACAGCTGCCCAGGTCCCGTCGTTCGCACGTGATGTCCCTGCCGGAGCCCCCTCTGGCTGAAGAGTCCGCTTCCACCACTCCAACGCCGGTCCTCGCAATAGTGACACTGCAAAATTAATGCGGGTAGCATCGTCAGCAATTTGTGCAGCATTGAAAAACACCTCTACACCGAACAACCAAGCCGACATAGTGACGGTTTTGTCGCTGGGGTTGAACGGGGGCGGGTTCGTCGGTTTTATTTTAACAGTTGTTGAGACTGTTGCTGCTGCATGCATCGGGGGCGCCATTGAAGCCATCACCGGGGTTGTCGCTGTTGCCTGTCGTGGCGTAGTCTGCGACTGTTGCCTCGGCTGTGACTGTTGTTCCTGCGTCCCTTGTGCCCGTTGCATCCCTGCTGTCCGTTCGTCTTCAGCGTCCAGCGAGTTCTGTAGCTCGCTGAGGACCTCGTCGTTAGGCGCGAAACTGCTACTTGCTTCATCCACGGCGGGCGACTCCTGACGCGCTTCACCTCGCGTCTGGCGTAGCTCGGCGTTTTCCGCCCTCAGGCGCTCCAACTCGCCAGACATTGTCGGCATGTTGGCCTGCATCGCCCGAAACTGTTGCATGAGCTCGTTGAATTCCGCCTGATCCATGTGTCGCAGGCTTCGTCTAACGGGCAGGGGGTTAACAGCGATTTTTTATGGTTTTGATGAAGGCGCAAACGCTATTAGTCGGAGCGAGATAATCGTGTCTATCTCTCATCCGACCGCTTTGCAGCCCACCAAACCTATCGCACCCCTGTACTAAACTACCCTGGAAAGTGGAGGGTAACCTAGGAAAGTAGCTCTGATACCAGGTGTTATGAGTTGTATGAAAGAAGAGTGCGCAGAATGCAATATCGCGGAAGTGATTACAACTACTGAGCAACCAACGGGGCCTAGGCATAATATAGCAAAGCTAGCTAAGCCGAGGTCGCGGAGTCGCGCGAAGGTTGGGTGTAGGTTTGGGTTTGGAAAACCCGAAGGCGACGCGGAAGACGTTCGGGAGGCGAGGTCGACGGACCGAGCCTGAACTCCGAAAGTTGGAAATGTACGCGTAAGCGGTGCCTCAGTAAGGAATTAGCAAAATTCCTTACACTCGTAGTGCCTTTTATTCTGTATGTAAGCACCAAAATTTGCGCATCATAACTTTTCTGCATGTTACTGGCGACATCTCCGCGCGACCCCCTTGTGGCGACCGTCGCTGTGTCACTGCTCACGCCGATCGAAATCTGCACGAAATGCTGGCGAAATTTCGCGAACCATATGTTTAAAACTATGTGGACTTTGTTTTCGCCCGTCTGCGTCCTGTCTATTTTTGTCGGGCAAATCCAAAAATTTGCCTGGCGCTTGTCTATTTCGCGTGCGCTTGTCTACGTCGCCACGAAATGCACGTTCCCCGTCTGGTGATCCATATATTCCTGGGAGAGTGAAAGGTGACTTATCGAAACCTACTGAATCGACCGCCTCATTTTTGGGATGCACCCACCGGGCCATCTCTCTATCACGCGCTCCCACTCTCGCCCCTCTCACTCTTCCCCCCTCGCCCCTGCTCCGCCTCCACTGCCCTCTACCGCGCTAAACCCCTTCACTGGGATCTGCCGCGCTAAACCCCGTCTCCCGCCGTCCCCCTCCCCCCCTCAGCTCCCCAAACTCCGCCCAGCCCAGTCCGCCAGCTTCCGTGGCGGCATGGAGGTGGCGGGCCCGCGGCGGGCAGGCGTTCGGCGAGTGGAAGAGGGGGATCGCGTGGTGGTGTACGAGGCGCGGGACGCCATGCGCATCGCCACCGTCACGCCCAGCCGCTCCCTGCAGAACCGGTCAGACCCACCGTGGCGCGCGAAGGGAGGGGGGAGGGGGGAAGGGGGGGAGGGGGGGGCGGGGTTGGGGGTGGTGACGCGCGGGAGGGTGGCACGCGGGAGGGTGGCGCGCGGGAGGGTGGTGCAAGGGAGGGTGGCGCGCGGGAGGTTGGTGCAAGGGAGGGTGGCGCGCGGAGTGTGGTGCAAGGGAGGATGGCGAGCGGGAAGGTGGTGCAAGGGAGGGTGGCGCGCGGGAGGGTGGTGCAAGGGAGGGTGGCGCACGGGGGGTTGGCGTATGTGGGGGTGGCGCACGTGGGGGTGGCGCACGTGGGGGTGGCGCACGTGGGGGTGGCGCAAGGGAGGGTGGTGCAGGAGCGGCGAGACATGGCCGTGGGGCAAAGGGCAGTTGGCGGGGCCTGTGTGAGGCAGCTTAGTGGGGATGCGTGATGGCCGCGGGGCGGAGTGTGATGAGGGGCACACCTGTGTTCCCCACACTCTGCTTTCTGAACGCACTCTTTCCCCATGCAATAATTCCCCCACTCGGCGTTGGCCTGAGCCCTCTCGACTCCATTTCCCCCTTCCCCCCACCCTCACTCCCCACCCTTTCGCCCATTCACCCCCCCCCCCCCCCCCCCCCCCCCCCCCCCCCCACCCGCCCCCCACCCTCCCTCTCCCCCTTTTCGCACCAGCTTTGGAGTGTTCCGGCACAGCGAGTGGGTGGGGCAGCCGGTGGGGTCGCGGATGCGGGCGGCCAAGGGAGGCGGCTTCGTGCACCTGCTTGCACCCTCGCCCGCCCTCTGGACCAAGGTGAGGTGCGGTGAGATGTGGTGAGGTGAGGTGAGGTGAGGTGAGGTGAGGGGTGGTGGAGCAAGGTGAGGCGGGGTGGCGAGTAGGTGGCGTGGAGCATGTGCGAGCAGGTTCAGTTGAATTGGGTGCGAGCAGATTCCAGTAATGCGCCCACCACAGCAGCACACCCACTGCATCGCCCACCACAGCAGCACACCCACTGCATCGCCCACCACAGCACACCCACTGCATCGCCCACCACAGCACACCCACTGCATCGCCCACCACCCTCCCCTCCCCACCTCCCTCTCCCTGCCCCCCAACCAGGTGCTACCGCACCGCACCCAGATCCTGTACCTGTCGCTTGCTTGCCTCGTTCCACCACCACCCACCGTCAACTTCCTCACCCTCCCCCCCTACAACACCCTCCCCCCCATACAACACCCCCCCATTCCCCCCCCCACCCCACCAGGTGCTACCGCACCGCACGCAGATCCTCTACCTGCCGGACATCGCGCTCATCATCGCCCGCCTGGCTGTCACGCCCGGCGCCACCGTGCTGGAGAGCGGCACCGGCAGCGGCAGCCTGTCGCACTCCCTCGCCCGCGCCGTGGCGCCCACCGGCCGCCTGCTCTCCTTCGACTTCCACCACGCCCGTGCGGAGCAAGCCCGGTGAGCAGGCGAGGTGAGCAGGCGAGGTGAGGGGGATGGAGGGTGAGGCGGCATGCGTGGCGGAAGCTGCCATGCTTCCTCAAGCTGCTGGGAGCAGGGCAGGGGCGCGCAGCACATGGCAGGTGAGGAGGATGAGGAGAGGGGTGCGTGCCACATGGCATGGCATGGGCAGGCTGGGGAGAGCCCGAGAGGAGGTGAGGGGAATGCGAATGAATGGCGAGCTCCCCTTTCCTCTGACCACCCACGTGGTGCCCTGTGCCATGTGCAGGGCGGAGTTTGAAGCCAATGGCATAGCGGGCGTGGCCAGTGTGCAGGTCAGGGACATCCAGGGCCTCGGCTTTCCCCCTCACCTGCATGCCTCCGCGCACGCCGCCTTCCTGGACCTGCCCTGCCCCTGGCTCGCCCTGCCCTCCGCCGCTGCGTGCCTGCTGCCGGGCGGGCGGCTGTGCTCCTTCTCGCCCTGCATGGAGCAGGTGCAGCGCTGCTCCCAAGCCATGCGCGCCCATGGCCTCACCGGTGCGTCTCCAGCCCCCCACGCCCACACGCCGCTCTGCCTTGCATTCCCCTCTCTTGCACTGCACCCTTCCACCCACCACTCACCCATCACTCACCCATCACTCACCCATCACTCACCCGTCACTCACCCACCACTCACCCATCACTCACCCATCACTCACCCATCACTCACCCATCACTCACCCATCACTCACCCATCACTCACCTACCACTCACCCATCACTCACCCATCACTCACCCATCACTCACCCACCACTCACCCATCACTCACCCACCACTCACCCATCACTCACCCATCACTCACCCGTCACTCACCCATCACTCGCCCATCACTCACCCATCACTCACCCATCACTCACCCATCACTCACCCACCACTCACCCATCACTCACCCATCACTCACCCATCACTCACCCATCACTCATCCATCACTCACCCACCACTCACCCATCACTCACCCATCACTCACCCACCACTCACCCATCACTCACCCATCACTCACCCATCACTCACCCACCACTCACCCATCACTCACCCATCACTCACCCACCACTCACCCATCACACACCCATCACTCACCCATCACTCACCCATCACTCACCCATCACTCACCCATCACTCACCCACCACTGCTTGCATCCACCCACCATTCCAATCCTCGCTCGCTGCTCCACCTCTCCGTCTGCTCATCTCCCCTCCCCCCTTGATCTCTGCTCTCTCCATACCATACCCTTTGATCGCTGCTCCCTCCGTACCATACACCCCACGCCTCCAGACATTCGCACTGTGGAGCTGCTCAGCCGAAGCTACGAGGTGCGGGAGGAAGTCCTCACCGTGCCAACCCTGAAGCGAGCCTCGGAAGCTCCGAGCCTTGAGCCGCCAGGGGAGGGAGAGAATGGGAGGGCCAGCGAGGGCGACGGGGGCCACCAGAGCGACAACCGGGCAGCGAAGCGCCGTCGCGAGGAGGGGGGCGGTGAGGAGGACGGTGGGATGGAGCAGAGCACCGTGGTGGAGGGGAGACAAGACGGTGGTGCGACGGGAGAGGCAGGGGCAGTGGGCAGAGGGAGGAGGGAGATGGGCAGGCGACAGAGGAGGGTGGTGGAGAGCATGGGCGAGGAGAGGAGGTACGTGGCAGCGAGGCCAGTGGCGGAGAGCAAGGGGCACACGGGGTACCTCACCTTCGCCATCAAGCCCGTGTGACGCCCGTCATATGCGGAGGTCGCCACTTGCCGTGGCTGCAACGAGGGCAGCACGGCACCTGCTCTCACGCCCATCTGTCGGGTCCTGCACCTGCCGTTGTTGCATTTATCATGGCTGATATGTGTTCCTGTTTCCTTTGCTTCTTCCACTCCTCAGTGACTTCACAAGCTCATACCACAAGCAGGTTAAGGGGCAGGGCCCAAAATATCAGGGTAAATTGCCCTGATTACCCTAGGGGCCGGCCGCTTTTTTAGAGTTACCCTATCAAAATCAGGATTCCAAGATTTTTACCCTTACGCAAAAAGAGCTTGGTTTGTTTTACACTGATCGGAATTATGGTTAGCCTGACGATATCAGGGTTCTGTGTAAACTTCCCTGCTACCGAAACTTTTCCCATGTGCAAAGTGGGGGAGAACAAGGAGTCACAAGACCAGTCAAGCAAAACAAGGCAAAGCAAGCTGAGGGTGGATCACAACGTCACCACACATTCCGAGCACAAGTTCAAGACCACAAGTCCAGTTCACATGCAAGATCATATATAAAGGTAAACAAGCAAGTGCAGGTATAGATAGATCACAGTACAATCAAGGTCAAGAAGTGAGCAAGTGAGGCCAAGTAGGCACAAGACCTAGCATCGTACAAAAGCGCTGATGATCACAAGGCGGAAGTGCCTTGGTAAAGATATCAGCAGTGTTGGCCTCAGAGGCCACGTAAGCAAGGCGCAGCTGACAACGCTGCTGCAGCTCACGAGCAAAGAAGTAGCGGAGAGCAATGTGCTTCGTTCTGTGCTCCAGTCGGTGCTCCCGACACAAGGCCAGCATGGCCTTGTTGTCTACGTACAGAACTGGAGGAAAACGAGGCGGCTCTCCTAGGTCAGTCAGCAGGTAGGTGAGCCAGCGTAGCTCTTGTGCAGCCATGGCCCCAGCGTAGATCTCAGCCTCATAGCTAGAGCCGAGAACAGAAGACGAGCGGGTAGACCGCCACGAAACAGAGCCGGAGCCAAGGCTGAAGGTGTAACCCTGTGACGACCGCTGCGTAGCCTGGTCGTCAGCCCAAGAAGCGTCTGCGTGACCTGTGAGGACCACTCGACGTCGCCCTCCAAGCACTAGCCCCATGCCCGACGTACTGCACAAGTAGCGCAACACCCTCTTCGCTGCAGCCATGTGCTTTGGTCGGTGTCTCCCAGGAGCAACATAGCGTGCAAAGATGCTAAGAGGGTATGCTAGGTCAGGTCGTGTGCAGGTCATCAGGTACATGAGGCAGCCAACAAGCTCTGGGTACGGGCCAATCGGCTCTACGGACTCATCCGAAGGCAGAGCTGAGAGCGAGTGGCGAGTAGACAGAGGAGTGGCCTAAGGCGAGGAGTACGTGACGTCGAAGCGCAGAAGGACCTGCTGCACCATGTGTGACTGAGTCAGGGTAATGGTGCGCTGTGCTCTGTTCCGGGTGATCTGCAAGCCAAGATAGTTGCGCAGTTCACCCAAGTCTGTGCACGTGTGTCTCTTCTGCAGCTCAGACTTCAAGTGGGCGAGTCCAGCAGTGTCAGCAGTGGCAAAGACCAAGTCGTCGACGTACACGAGGATGTAGAACGGCGGCAAAGACGTGTCGGTGCGTAGAAACAGCGACGGGTCAGTAGTAGAAGGAGCAAACCCAAGAGCCGCAAGTGTAGTCCTCCGTGTGTTGTGCCACTCACGGGGCGCCTGGCGGAGACCGTAGACTGGCCGCCGGAGGCTCCACTAGGTACCAGGAGGAAACGACCCAGTGAAGCCAGGTGGGCGGCGCAGCCAGATCTCCTCGTGCAGGCTGCCCTGCAAGAAAGCTGTGCTGAAGTCAAGAGAGTGAAGCTCGTAGTCACGCTGAGCGGCTGTGTGCAGCAGCACCCGAAGAGTGGTCATCTTCGGGGTGGAAGAGAAGGTCTGAAAGTAGTCAACTCCCTGCCGCAGACTGAAGCCTCGAGCCACGTAACGCGCCTTGAAGACAGGCGGAGAACCCGGCGGCCGCTTCACCCTGAAAATCCACACGCCACTGACGATGTTCGCCCCAGGTGGGGGAACCTCGTCGACGTAGGTGCCTGTGGACTTCCAGGAAGCCATATCTGCATCCATAGCTGACTGCCACTGTGAGGAGTAGGGACCCTCGATCGCCTCAGCGTACGATCGAGGAGTCGGGATGTCTGGTGCATCCGGGTCTCCCCCAGGGGCAATCAGCATGGACACGAGATGAGGCAAAGCAGCAGCAAAACACTGGAACTCCTCCTGCCTGTCCTCAAGGACGTCCGTGCTAAGAACACACTCACCCCCGGCGGACGGAGGACAGACAAACTCAGACTCAGCAACAAGACTAGCGGCGTAGTCGAGACGACAGCGAGCAGCGAAGTCGACAAGCTCAGCAACTAAGGCAGACGCAGCAGTGGACTTAAAAGAAGGGTCAGTGACAACAGTAGCCAGGAGACGCATGACAGTAGGACTGGTAGCACGAAGAGAGTCAGACTCCGGGTCAGCAAGAGTAGGAAGAGAGGACTCTGCAGGAGACGGCAACGGGACACGTAGAGGAGCAGTGGAAGGACGTAGTGCCATCTGGTGTGTGCCAGGGACGGCACGAGGACGCGGACGCGGAACACGACGACTAGTGCGAGCAGCACGAACAAGCGACGCAGGACGAGACGCAGGCTCACGACGCTCAGCAAGACCTCCAGTAGGACAAGTGTAGGGAGAAGGAACAGGCAGCGGGGAGGCGGGCTGTAACTGTGACTCAGACTGGACAGGCGGCGGACACTCTAAGGAAGGAGCAGGACCAGTAGAGGGTGGGAGACGAAGAACCTGCTCAAGGAGCGGAACGAAGTACGGCCGTGGCCGCGCAGCGCCTCCAGAGCCAGCACGGACAGCACCAGCACCCCCAGCGGCAGTACCAGCACCAGTAGTACCCCCAACTGCATCACCGCCAACTCCGGCACCCTCAGAAGCACCAGCGCCAGCAGCACCTCCAGCGCCCCCAGCAGCTCCAGCTCCAACCGGACCACGGGAAGGCTCGACAGCCACAGCTCTAGCACCTCCAGTAGCACCTGCTCCAGAAGCTCCACCAGCAGCTCTAGCACCACCACTAGCTCCAGCAGAAGGAGCACCCCCAGGCCAAGCAGCTCCAGTACCTCCAGTACGAGCACCTTCGGAACCTGTGGCACCAACACCCTCAGTAGCAGCAGAACCGCTAGCGCCAGCAGCACCTCGAGCTCTAGCAGCACGGCTCCAGCGCCGAGCAAACCACTCGCGCAGCTCCTGAGGAGAGGGGAGCTCGCGCCGGGACGAAGCACCCAAGGGACCCCTAGACCCAGCACCGCCAGACTCCACACGAGTAGGCCCAGCACCCTCAGGCTCCACACCCCCAGGCTCCACACCCCCAGGCTTAGCACCCCCAGGCTTAGCACCCCCAGGCTCAGCACCCCCAGACTCAGCACCCCCAAGCTCAGCACCCCCAGGCCCCGCACCCGCAGGCTCAGCACCCTGAGCAGCACCAGAGTCAACAGCTACCTTGATAGGCTCGACTGCGTCAACCTGGGACACACATGAGGGGGCAGGACCCTGAGGGAGAAGGGGGTCTAAAGGGGGGGTCCTGGCGCGAGGAAGAGCGGCGACGGGGGGATGGGCGCAGTGCGGTAGGGGAAGAGACGGTAGTAAGGAACCGACTCGTCAAACGTGACGTCCTGGGAGGACAGAACACGGCGCGAGGTGGGGTGGTAAAACTGCCAACCAGGCGCGTCAGGGGGGAAGCCAAGGCAGACGCAGGGAACAGCACGGGGGGACAGCTTGTCCGTAGACAAGTCGCGGATAAAAGCCCGAGTTCCCCAGACACGAAACGCATACCCATCGCCAACCTTCCCCGTCCACCGCAGAGCAGGGGAGGTCTCCGGCAAGGAGACTCGAGGCTGAAGGTTGATCTGATGCGCCGCGTACTGAATCGCGAACGGCCATAGAAAATGGGGAGCAACCGCATGAATCAAGGACGTACGAGCGACGTCCATGACCATGCCAATGCGGCGCTCAGCAATCCCATTTTGCTGCGGAGAGGCCGGAAGCGTGAACGTCTGGCGGATGCCCTGTGCACGACAGAAGGCTCCGAGAAGGCCAGAGGAAAACTCTCCGCCTCTGTCAGAGTGCAGACGCAGAACAGGAACGAACGTAGGGGCAGGCCCCGGAGGGAGGGGAGGGAGGGACTGGGGGAGACTAGAGACAAGGTAACGGGAGGCCATGCCTCGGAGACGAGGCAGGGAAGGGTGACCAAGGCGGGGGTGCCAGAGGAGAGTCCGGTGGGACAAGAGACGACACGAGCAGGGAGCAGACTCAAGACCAGACCTGGACGCTGGAGCAAACACCTGACCTGACTCAGCAACCGGTGAAGACTAAGTAGTCAGTGTGTACAGGCTCGACCCTGGCTGACGGGTAAACGTGGCCAAGTGTCGGCCCGTCCGAGCACAGGTACAGTGGGTCACCCGCTAACTCGCAGGAGTGAACTGGTCAACCCCCCCATCCTGTAGGTCAGCACCACTCACCAAGTTCGTAGAGAACGAGGGGAGGTAGAGACCTGACAGGGTGCCAGAAAGGGCCGGCGGACACGGTAAGACAGTGGAGAAGTGGGCAAGGACAAGACCCCCAGAGGGGTTCGCTGAGATCGCAACTAGCCGACTAAGCGACGTAAGCGTGGTGCGGTCTCGAAACAAGGAGCGGGAAGCACCCGAGTCAAGGGTGAAGGTGTGTAAGGCCTGAGCCGACGTGGTACCTGAGAGAGCAGACTCACCAGCACCTGGGGCAGCAGATTCACCAGTACCTGGAGCAGCAGACGCACTAGCACCGAGAGCAGCAGCCTCACCAACACCTAGAGCAGCAGCCTCAATGCCCGGATCAGGCGGAACACACAGGTAACAGCCGCCCTCATCACTTGTGGACACAACATGCATGGCAGCAAGAATAGCATCATAATCCAGATCAAAGATAGCAACCCCCGACCTA